ATGGTGGGGATGATGGTAGTGATCATGGTGATCATGGTGGTGATGATAATGTTGGTGATGGTGGTGATGGTGATGATGGTGGGGGTGGAGCCTGCCTAGGATTCTCCCTCTGCCCCTCCCTTCCTCTAAAAAAAGCCCAGAAAACAAAGAACAATGATCCCCTTGAAATCATAATGCAGATTTCAGAAGACATTATAAAGTCACTCCAAATATATCAAAAATCAGAATTGTAGTTGCAGTCTTAAAAACAGAAGCTTTGGTCACAAATGTCTTAGATGCCTTTTGGCTTGCAAATTGTCTTTTAAACTAAACTATGAGACAATGAATTCGTCAAAACAGCACCTCCTCTAATCTCCAGTCTGTAACCCTCAGCTGTGGGTAGTTTTTAAAGTACTACTCTGTCAAAACAGAGTAGGTACTGGGAGCCTGGGTGGCTCAGTGGGTTAAGCGACTGCCTTCGGCTCAGGTCAGGATCCTGGAGTCCTGGGATCGAGTCCCGCATCGGGCTCCCTGCTCAGCGGTGAGTCTGCTTCACCCTCTTCCCTCTCGTGCTCTCTATCTCTCATTCTCTCTCTCTCAAATAAATAAATAAAATCTTTAAAAAAATTAAAAAAAAAAACAGAGTAGGTACATCTTAAAAAGAAAAACTATTGATTTCTGAAGGCTGCTTCACATTCCAGGAGGATCTACATGACTCACTCAATCCTTTAGTATCTGAAACACCCAAACCCTTCATCAAGTTTTAAGTGTGAATGCATTACTAGTAAAGTTGAAAAACAGGCCCATAAAACAATCAAAGACCAAAGTACGAAAATTAACATTCCATATGATATTAAACTATCTTCTAAGGTTAAACATCAAGGCTTGGAAAACTGATGACTAAAAATTAACATGGAATTTGGTAGCACTGGTACAAACTTGCATCAGACATTTGTACGAGTCAAATGCTTAGACATACAATTTTACAAATGATATGTGCTGTCAACAGCTCACTCACTTTATTCTGGCAGATTTGGTGAACAGGCCGTGAATGGGCTTCTATGATTGTGGCTGCGCTGCAACCTGCATTGAGGTCGAAAACTTCCAGAGTCCTGTTCCGGCCGGCCGTGAGCACAAGATCTGCGTGACTCAGTTAGGGAACTCCTCTCAACGATCCGTCACCGGGAATGAGCAGCCCCATGTATTCTGTTAGTACTTTTGGGACACACCAGAAGACACACAGGATGACTGTGGCTTCAACAGCTGAAGCTCCACAGAAGCTGTGCTCACAGCCCCGCTTCCCCCTCTGGTCCTGGGCATCTGGCAGGAGCTGCTGGGCCATGGACAAGGGCGGACCCAGGTGCTACACATCCCAAGGTGGGAGGCCCAGAGGTCTAACTCCAATGAAATGAAGTTCAAGGTGTCCAGGAAATGCCCAAATCAAGAGATGGAATGGCAGCTGAATCTACGGGTACTGAGCTCAGAAGACAGGTCTGAAGGTAAAATTAGGCAATGCAACCATAAACGTGGACAGTGCCACCCAGAGCCGGCTGCACGAGAGCACACAACTCCCAGCATGGCATACCACTGGCTGAGCATCGCTAACTTCGACACTTGGGACAAGAGCGGCAGTTGATGAACTTAGGGTTTGTGTGACCACCAGAACTATCCAACCTCCCATGTTCAGCCCAGAACACTGTCATCAATAGAATGGTAATAAAAATAATATGATAAAAAGATCACCAGATTTGATAATAAACCCAGTGCTAACACTGAAATATGCAGAAACCACCATTCAAGGCCAGAATACTCAGGACACATTTCTGCTACAGGTGTTGTGTTGTGTGTGTAGCAAAAGGGTCTAGCATAAAAATATCACATTTCTAATTAAAATACACTAGAACCTCTAATACCTTATATCAGTCCTTCTGAAATTTCAACTATAAAACTCTTCAAAAGAACATAACTTAGACCTCTGAATAACTTAAAATTTTATAAGATGAATTCCTAAAAATCAGAGCTTTTCTTCTAAATAAATCAAAATCGATGCTTTTAATTAAAAGGGATGATGCTAGCCAAAAAAAGTCAAAAAATAAACTTTAGACTCAATTTCATCTTCAGCATTACTGCTGTAACTTCTGCCACCCTCCACAGAGCTGGGGCAAACTTCCATTCATGGAAGGATACCACCCACCGTAAGTGTAGCAGTTCATTTTTAAAAAGTACTAAATGACTACATATTATACAGTAAACTACAGACCGGAAGTAGGGGGTTAGATGCTCTGCTGTATGTATGTCCTGTGCTCTGTTGCATCCAAGTCTAGTTTTCCTTTGAAGCTCTTTTCACCACTGAGGAGAAATCACTACACATACAATCATGCAGAAGATGTGAGCTCCCTGAGTCCCGGTGCTCAGCACGGCGCCTGCAGCCTGGGCCCGCGGCAGACGCTCTTGCTGGGAGGCTGATGCTCAGGATGTGAAAACCCAGAGCAGAGGCAAGGATACAGGAACAGAAGCCGTTTACAGCTGATAAACTGGTAATCTCTGTCATACCAGTCGTAGGAAGCCTGAAGACACCTTTGCACCTACTCTTCTGTTTATATCTGAAAGAAAAATAAAGACAATTGATCTTTCTGTTTCTCTCCCACAATTAAGCATTCTACCATTAAAAGCTGAACATGAAGAAAGTTTTCATATTACTGAATAATTATATTTTATAACATCAAAGGAATAAGTCAGCTACCTTAATTTTCCTTTAGGAAACTCTAAATTTTCCTTTAAGAAAACTTCATGAAAAAATATCATATAAATCCCCAAATAATTCATTCTTGTCTATGAGAAAGTAAATTTTTCTCCTAATTCTAAAATAATTACATATACTTAAGAAGACTTCCAACCGGTTATAAATTATCTATATTTCCATTAACACAAATGTTGTTAATATTTTCTAAAGGGTAACATAAGCAGTTAGTATTGGTTTAATAAACAAACGACCTCAAGAATCCCTAACAATAATTTTATAAAGGAAAGGAACCCGCTAGCAATCTTACAATGTGATCCTGGCCCAGGGAGGGTCAGGGGAGACCTCTGGGGATGGCCCAGTGGGGCAGGAGCAGGTGGGGGATGGGGCCAAGCGGCGGGAGGGCTCCGTGTCTCGAACCTGCTGGGCGCTGAGAGGAAGGATGAACAGGCCGTCAGCCCGTACCTTCCACAGGAGGGTGAATGCTGCATGGGGGCCTGGGGCCATATATGCAGGGGAGGCACAGAGATGGGCATCCAGAGGCGTGACTCAGCAGGTCCTGGGGCAATGGCGGTGTGGGGGGTCACCCACACAGACTTGAGGGACAGATGGAGCTGAGTCGCAGGAGAGGTTTGAAGGGAAGCTCAGTGACAACGCAAAGATCCCACAAATTACTGTGTATTCCTGCTGAAAAACTGCATGGATCAAACAGTAGGTGGTTCACGGAGCAGAAAGCAGCCGTTTCATGGGGAGAGCCGTGGAGAAGCTCTGCAGACACCACAGACCAGGAGAGGCACGTCAGAAAGATCAGGCAAGCCAACAGAGAAGGCACACAGCTGAAATCACAGGGCATGGGGGTGAGGTGGGACGGGGGAAGGGACAGTCCCCGTTTAAGGCACAGGTATTCATGTGGCATAGTGGGCCGCGTGCCCACCTCAGCTCAGAGGGAGAGGACGGGCAGGGAGAAGGGCCAGGACAAGCGCTGACGGGGCTGGCAGGAGCCCTGCCCGGGGGACACACAGCTTCGCTGAGGGGCACTCGCGCCTGCGGCCTGTGTGAGCTGTGGCGTCCCACCCTCGGAAGCCTTGCCAGTTTCCAAGAGTCGCCACCCCCAGCTGATGCAGGCGTTTAAGTGGGGAAGGCAGCTGTAGCCCAAGCAAGCAGCAGGCCTGGGCAAGGGCCTTTCTCCAACAACCTCCATGGGGCATCTCCCCAGACGGAGGAGGTGAGGCCGCCCGGGCTGCGCACGACCACCCACTGGAGGGTCAGACCGCTCGCAAAGGGCCGTGTTAAGCACGTGCGAGGCGAGCATGGAAGGGATCCAGCGTGAAGGCCGTCTCCACGCCCCAACTTTGGCTGCTGGACCTGAAGCAAATAGTCTGCAAACACAGTACTTCTTTCCAAGGAACTACATTATCAAAAATGTGAAGACATTAAAAACACCAGGGTTGCAACAACCAGTAACCATTCAGTTCCTAATACCTGGCCTCAAACTCACGCCAGTGGAAAGCAGGCTAGTAAGACGGGGCAGGCACATGATGCCACACCGCAGCCTCGGGAGACAGGGGCCAGGAGGCTGCAGGGGTAATGCCACAGGGAGCCCTGGGCACTCTCTGCTGTCTGCCCGGCCACGGCGCCCGCGTCCTGCTCAGGAGCAGCCGGGACCCCATAGATACATCACACCTGAGCCAAATCCATCCTGGCCTCAGCACACGTTTCTTGGCCAAGTGGCTGACCTAAGAGTAAGCCAATCTTCTGGCTGAGATCCGGGGACACCTGCCATGTGTGTTCCTCCTTCACACTTAAAAAGCTACCCAATAAGGCTACTAAGCTGAAAACTTGCCCACAGGTCTCCCGATGGGCACAAGGGACTGTGGGTGAAACAGAACCCACAGTGACTCGCAAGACAGACCCTGAGCTCAGACTCCAGAAACGCAAGCCCATTCAACGTCACGCGCCCCACAGTGAGAGCACTGACGTGCTGATGTGGGGGTGACGCCACACGTCTGACGGCTGAGGGGAGTCTTGCAGCTATCTGCCCAGTTTATAAACTGACAATCCCTGCCGGCACGCTCCCAAGGCAGGTCCCAGCCCCAGGGGCCTGAGATGCTCCCAGGGGTCTGCTGCCTGCCGGCTCCAGCACAGTCTCCCCCTTCATGTTGCTGTAAGAATATGGATGTGACGCCTGGAGCTAGAGCAGCTACCTGGAAATCATAAAGCGAAAAGTAGCAGGACAGCACCAGCACACAGTCCTCAAGCCTGCGAGCCTCCTTCCTTTGCAGATGGCTCAGCTCCAGGCTGACATGAAACACCACAATCAGGTACTTAGTTATAGCAAGGAAGACAGCATGGCATCCCCTGCAGAGAGGATGGAAGGACAGACAGCCTCCAGAGAAAGACAGAACCCACCTCACTGTGTGTGCCACACACAGCTCGCTGCTGGCACAGAGCAGACGAGTCTGAAATCACCCCCCACGGCCCCACGTCCACACGTGCACAAGGAAATCCGGCACAGCACTGGTTAGAGAACAGGGGCGAGTCGGAAGGAGCCGGATCTCCGGCAACAACAGGATGGGGGAGGACACTATGGCACGTACCTGTTGCACAGAATTTCATAACAGGTGCTGCGAACAGACTGAAGTCACATTCACAGGCATGGCTAAATCTCAGAAACAGAATTCTGATTATTATGAAAGGTATGTTGCATTAGCAAATATAAAACCATGGATGGGAAGCAAACACACCAATCTCAACATGAGGAAAGTTACCACAGCCAAGACTGGAAGCAGCCAGGTGCCCACGGTCGGACGAGTGGATAAAGATGAGGTGTATGTACACACGGGGGAGTACTACTCGGCCGTCAGAGCGGCTGAGACCTTGCCATGTGCAACAAGGATGGGCCTGGAGGGTTTTATGCTAAGTGAAACAAGTCAGAGAAAAACAGATACCCTATGACCTCACTTATATGTGGAATCTAAAACACAAAAGAATAACAACAACAAAACAGAAACAGATTCATACAGAGAATAAACTGGTGGCTGGCGGGAGGGAGGGGCGGGGGGCAGGGGGGGGGCAGAATAGGGGAAGGGGATTATGGCACATGGGTCCTGAGGGTGGGAGTGCAGCACAGGGAGTCCAGTGAACAGTACCGTGTACTCTGGAAGGTGACGGATGGTAGCTACACCTACCATGGTAAGGACAAAAAAAAGCAGAGGAAAGAGGGGGTGGGAACTGGCCCAGGAAGGCAGGCCACTAATTATCCCCATAATGTTTTATTCCTTTAAAAATATGAAAACAAATGTTAATATTTGCACAGGGAAGTGTGAACAGGTGTTCCATCTGTATATTTAGCACGTGCGTGTGTGTATGAAACAGTTCCTGTTTTAACTTCACTACAAACACAGTAGGAGTCGTACCACATAATATCAATCAGACGCGTTGCTGAACCAAGGTCAGAGTTCCACGTTCCAAAGCCCCGGAGCCTCTCGTCACACCAAGGCCCCTGCGTGAGGCACTGCAGGTGAGCTCTGAGGAGGGAGAAGCCCATCCCTCGGCTCTCACCAGCAGCTTGCGGTGAGGTGATTCAATTTTGCACAACACGTGTAAATGAAAACCCTCTATTTACACACGACCCAGCAAGAAACAAGGCTCCCCCGACCACGGAGGGAAAGGAGGCAAAGAGCTGGCTACGCACCTTTGGATCCCATCCCTGCAAGTGTCGACATGGTACTTGAGGAGCTGGAGCTCGGGGCCCGAAGACAACAATATAAAAGTGTCTATGTAATAAAACTGTGCAGACCGAGTGGGCTTAGAAAACACGTCTTTGCCCTGGAACGTAAATCAGTAGTCATGGCCAGCATAACAGAGGCAGACAAGACACACACGGAGACTCTTTCCTATCAACCCACACGTCTACTCTAAACGTGGACACACTTCCTTAGAACCGGTTCACCATTTTGTTTCTTCTTCCCGACTACTTCTGAAAGATGTCACATGATTAAAATGTTTCTGTAATGAGTATTTTGAATCCCAGCCATTTAAAAACTTTAAAAATAAAATAAAATTGATACTTGGCAGTGAGGATATTAAGTAGTGAGGATTTTATTGAAAATAAATTCTAACCGTGGAACACAGTTCTGAGGCGTCAGTGTCACGTGAGAGATGACAGTGTCAACGACCCTAAAACAGACCCGTTCCCTTGAAGCTGCTCCCAAACGCCTCGTCCCGGAGTCCCCAGTCTGACGATTTCCCTTCCTGGCTAGTCTTCCTAGGATCCAATCCCCCTTTCACAGTAAGACCCGCAGGAGATAAATGCTAACCACAGCTTGGAGAATCTGCAGTCCCCCAGCTCCTGATCTGACTCGTGGGGGTGTGGCCCTGTGGTCACCTCCCTCTCCCACCTCAGCTGTGACATCAACACCACCGCCCTTCTCGTCTCTCCCATTGTCTCCAAATGGTCTCCTCTAAGCACGCAAAAACGCTCACAAGTAACGGTGCGTGCGGACAAGTGCACATGTGCCCGTGTGCGCGCGCGCGGCTGTCACACATGTACGCAAGTGCACACGTCTCCATGTGTGCGCGCGCAGCTGTCATACATGTACGCAAGTGCACACGTGTGTGAGTATGCACATGCATACATGTAAGAAAATGCTGATCACTGACCACCGCGGGTGCACCGGAGCAACTGTGGTTCACCCCATTTCCCACGCTCCTGGTGAGGGTACAAGCCCAGGCCCCATGAAGGTGCTGGCGTGCCTCTGTGACTGCCGGTCTGGGGGCCGCGGGGCTGGTCAGTGAAACCCCACCCACAGCCGGCGCTGGGGTTGCCCGTTACCACACACAACGCGAGTTCTGCCCCACGGAGTGACCACAGCCGCAGCGTCCCGTCCCGGGAGGTAGACAACAGCCACTGGCCATCATGGCTCCAGCACACGGTGCTCACCGCCCCGTCGTGACCTAACGGAAGACACAAACACAGGTGCCCCTGGGACTTCCATCCCACAGAACGCGGCTGTTCCAGGAGCAAATCGCCAGGCCAGAGGCGTTCCTAAGCCATGCTGGCAGCAGTGAGACCAAAGCCCGAGGATTCCTTTAAAGGCTCAGTACGGTTTGTGAAGGAGGTACTTCAAAAATGTATGTTTAAAACACGGAGCTCAAAATTATGTGTGCATCTGTGCTTGAAAAGAACATAAACTGTAGAAACTCACAAAATGTAGCATTATAAGAGGTACAGAAGTCTGTGGGCTTCACAATGACGCGTCTTCAAGAGCTGTTGCTCTCTCAACACTGAAGGAAAAGGCAGAAGGATTCGCTGCGTGCGGCCACATACGGTCTGACTACTGTTATGGCTGTCGGGGTCTGCGGCGCCGCCAGCAACAGGCTGCATGAACACGCCCCACAGGGCCCGCAGCACGCGGGGGTGTGCAGGAATGAGATGAGCAGTAACGTTCAGGCCCATCACCGGGTCGAGAACATACCGGTTACTTGCTTCTCTCTTCCTATCGAAACAGCTAAAGAGAAGCTCTACTGTGCCAACCGCAGTGTGTCCTGGGGGCAATCTCTGTCACTGAGAGGCGCGTGCACTGCTGTGGGCCGGAGCCTGACCGGCCAGGCACCGGGTTGAGCACCCAACGCAGTCCGTCAACCACCGCAATCGCACACGAGGTCAACGGGACAGCCCGTCCTTGCGCGCGGGTTCCCCGTCCCCCGCCTGCCTCAGCTCCACGCGGCGCAGAGAACAGACGCGCACCCCTGCGGGAGCCGGACACTCTACCACTGCGCCAGGCCGCCAGCCAGCCCTGCTCCTTCTCAACCGGGCGCCGGCCGTCTCCCACGCAGGCTGACCTCTGCATTCTGCCTCCAGCAGAGGCCCAGGAGGCCGCTTCAAAGGGTCCTGCCCCTGCTGCCACCAGCCATGCAGAGGAGCCCAAGGACAGGGAGAGCGGGGCTGCTGGGGAAATGAAAACCGCGGGCTTTCTGGAGTGGAGAGGGGCAGCATGGGCGGCTGAGGTGCAAGCGCCCCTGCCACGGCACAACTGGGGAGTCTGGATGGTGCTGTGCCACATGGGGCACGGGGACGGGCCCAGGGGCCCCAGCAGCACAGCAAAGCCACCTTCCCGTGTGGGCCCCGCGTCTGGCTGGGACGGCAGAGAGAGGACCCACAGACGCGGCCCCGCATCTGGGAACGCGCCAGCCTCCGGCTCAAGCACTCTGTAACCGAACGTGCACGGAAGCCAGTGCCCCCATGAGGACATTCTTGCTGCTGCGGCTGGACCACCACAGAGGAGACAGTGAGGGGCCGACCAGCCAGAGAACCAACTCGGAAGAGATGGAAAAGGCAGGAGAGATCTATAGAGTAGGCACCGCGACCCAGGACAACCAGAGTCGGATTTCCCGAATAGCTCTGCTGCCCTCTGGTGTAGGTTTCTGGGAGTTTTACCAGAAGGACAGAGGCCCCATTGCGCCAGGCTTCAGGCCTGCACCGTCGCTGCTTTGCTGAGAAATAGCAAGGCCGGGGGACACCAGGGATGGCACCTGTGACGCTTCACTGCAGGTCAGTGTGTCTGAGAACCCACGACCACCCGCTAGCGTCCCATGTGCTCTGGGCCGTGACGGGTAGGCGGCTCTGCCTGTTCTGGCCTGGGACCTGCAGATGCACCTGTATTTCCAGCTCAGTGGCTCCCTTCCTCAACATCGCATAGGGGAGCTCAGACCGCCACCGCCTTACCCTGCAGTGACAAGGCCGACAAGCCACGAGTCAAAGGGACACGGGCAGTGAAGTCACCACCATTTAGCTGGGTGTAATTCTTCCCAATTAAGCGGTAATCCACTGCAGTGGGGACACCCTCTGCCCTGCCATCCCTCCCTGCTAACTAGTATTCTGAGCCTGGGCGCCCAGACAAGGTCAGCTGAGTTACCAAAGAAGGCTGAAGTGCTCTTATCGCAGAAACCCTAAACAGGCACCCCTCTGCTGGCCCCCAAGCATCACTGGGGCATCGATGAGCCCACCCAGTGCATCAGCCAGTAAGGCAGGGACAGACCTCTCTGACTCCGAATGAGAACACTACACGACCTTCTCCTCCGAGCTCCAGCCTGCACCAAGCAGCTGTGACCACAAGGCCTGGCGCAGGGACCCCAGCTCCAGCCGGCCAGCGTGCCTAGCAGGGACCTCGGCTGGGCTCCTCCTTCCTCCCCTCAGCACAGCTCCACGCTGCACACACTGCCTTCTCACTGAACCACACTGACGGCCTCCCATCTTGGATGGCAGGTGCCCCTGTGGCATGCACACTGCAGCGATAAACCTCAGGAACAGAATGAACAGGACACAAGACACATCTGAGTCCTCCCTTTCCCTGAGGCCAGGGCCTGGCTTGAGGTGTGTGACCCCCGACGCCACAGAGAAGGAACGCAGGATGGCCACAGTGTGGCTGAGATCAAGCGGACTGAGAACTTTTAACACCAGAAAGCAAGATGTTCTGAGCTCAAGTTCACCCTTTTTTCAGAATTGGTTTTTAAGGAACTCCATAATATTTAATAAAATCTTAACTAAATTTAATCTTGTGAAGTGGCTGGCCCCAGAATTCCACTCTTCCACCCCTCAGCCTTGGGCACATCCTCCTGCAATGGCTGAGATCCATCCACCCGTGTCCTCGAGCATCTGCTCTGTGCCCAGCACTCGCTGAGGGACGGAAGCGGGGTCCCCACAATGCTGGTGCTGGACAACAAGGTGTGATGGGCGGCCTTCCACATTCGAAAGCACAAACATGAAGCCCTTACTAAATTAAATGCCATCATGACCACTGGCTTTCAAGCTGGGATGCACAGCTGGCCATGCTCTCCTGGGACCCAGTCCTGAGTTCTCTAGGGTGGGATTCTAACTTAGCAACTAATTTTAACCACAACAAAATATCCAGATTATACTGGCCTCATTTGTCCTGGATTGTGATGAATATTAAAGCGCCCACTTTCCTGCTTTTTGTGTGAAGTGTGGAGAAAGCAATTGTATTTTCAAAGTTGAACCATATGACCAGTAACCCAGTGGCACAAGGCGGAATGGTGCCCTAGAACATGTGGGGTGGGTAAGAATGACGCTTTTCCCCAAAACACAAACAGGGCACTTTTTTAAAAGGCAAGTTTGAACATCTCCTGCATTATTTGAATTCAGCCACAAGCCCTATTCCTGCAATAAAACAGATAGAGAAACATCCACATCCAACATAATTGCCATTTCTATCAATTGTTGAGCGATAGACACCCAGGCGGAGTCCTGGGCACATTCAAGGTGCCTTAACAGGAGCCTTCAGAATGACACTTTGAACCCCAGGAGGGATGATGTGGCTGTGGGCTGGGAAGCTGCCCTCCAGAAGGCCGCCCAATGCTGTCAGGAGGCCCGTTGTAGACCCTGGAGGTACCCGAGTCTGGAGGAACACTGTGGGGCATGCTCCTGCCCCCCTTCACCCACCATGTCTGCGCCTCACCCCCTCCGCCAGGTGCTCCCTCCTCTACTTCACAGAAACACCTGGACTGGCAGCATTTCTGGGTTGTTTTTTTTGTGTGTGTTTTTGTTGTTGCTAAAATATCTACCAAGTGTGAGTCTTGCAGTGAGGGGCTCCAGGAGCCTGACCGAGAATGGGGGTAGCTCAGAATCTGTCAGGAAGCTACAATAGCAAGACTTCCAACACCTCTGCCCTCACCTCAAATCTACTCACCCGAGAAACATCCTCACCTCATTACATTTATAAAAATGTCTGTGTACAAACCGTCCTAATTTTCCAAACATGCTTTAGTCATGTCTGTGAGATCTGATTTTGCCCCTCCCCAGCGACTTTGCAGAAGCTTAGTTCCCTGACCATGGGGCACTGTGACAGAACTCCTGCAGCCTGGCCTTCCTGGTTACACCCCTTCTGCCCAGTTTAGTGGGGCCAATCTAGTTCGCTAAACCTCCATGCAAGCCGTAGTTCTAGTCCAGTCTGATCTTGAAGAGAAGAGCAACTGTTACCCAGGACCAAAAGGAGACCCACCCATAAATTTATAGTAACTAAAATTAACACACATCATACCTGAAAAAACAGCAGGTGTCCCAGTGAGATCAGCACGGAAGACCAGCGACAAGTGGTTGGCTAAGCCGCAGGCAAGCCACCGTCCATCCCCTGCTTAAACATGGTAAGAGATATCCCTATAAAATCACAGCTCACAAGAGTCACACTTGCAACAGTAAATATAGAATCTGAGTTAACTTGACGTTCGTTTTGTCAGTGTGAGGGAACCTAAAACAGCACTTGCTCAATGGCTAACCACCACACTTTGAGGGTCCACCAGGTGGCATCCCCCAGGACGTCCTTTAGAGAGGACCTGGGAGTTAGGTGCCACAGGGCTAGTCAGAGTCAGCACGGGGTTCTGAACCCAGAGAACCTTAACCCCCAGGGCACCCTGCCTCCCATCAACAGATTTTAAGACACATAGTATTCAGCTATGCAAGAATATTTAAACCTATCCCTAACACAGGGCAGAACTAAGTTACAGACCAGCCCCCCCCCCCATGATTTTCCAACTCATGGAGCTCCTACTTTATTTCTAATCATATCATACAATCACGTGATCATAAATAAGCAAGACTATCTCACACCACAAAGGTACTTCACTGATGATACTATGTATCTTATTTCCCAAAATCACTCAAACATGCTTTAGCTAAACTTACACGAAAAAGAAGGGAACTCAGCATAGTTGGAAGTAATGAAAACTGCAGGAATGCCCTCAAAATGCTAAGGGGTGGCCTTCTAGCCACCAGACTGAGGGCAAACACATCTTCTCACCTCCAGGTATGTCTAGAAACCAGAAACAACGTGTGCTTCTGAACAAGAGCTCAGATCGCAGAGCCACCTGGACGGGAGCTGCTCCCCATTTCCCGCAAACTCACTTAGGAAAAGTGCTGAAGGCCCAGAAAAAGAGTCTGGCAGAGGCATTTCAATGTGCTTGAGAGAACATGGCTGTCCCCAGCCCAAGACGTGCTGGGCCTGCAGGAAAGGCTCCATCTGAGGAGGGATGGCAACCACACAGGACACCGAGGTAATCCGCCCTGAGCGGTCTCCTCCACCCTCTGCGAACCAGCCCCCCACCCCCTCGTAGCTCCTTCCAATGCTACAGAGGAGAGGGTCACACACACACTGCACAGACTGGCCGAGCCTCCAATTCCAAATCCAGGAGCTCCCACCTACAGCAGCGGCCGACGCGAGCGGGAATGCCCTAATGCCAGTACGCTCGAGGGCAACGTGAGCTTTGATTTTAATCCAGACTCAAACAATGCCAGAAAACTTCACACAACCAAGATTTTTAAAGCTCTATTTACAACGGAACAGTGGCAGTTGAGAGACCCTTGGAAACACAACGAAGGGCGGCCCCGGGCGCAGCGTACCTGAGTACTGGACACAGCTCACAGCCGCCGGACCGTGCGCGATGACACGCTGCTTGTGGACTTTGGTTGGTGGAGAACTCTCCAAAGGGTATTCCTTACTGGAAGGAACATCAGAAAAATGAAAATCGAGAGTTCAAAGTGAGATGAGAAATAAAACAATGGACTAGAAGTGGTGGATTCTCCCCTATTTATATGCACAATTTCATTCTATCCAACTTGAATACATATAAATACACACAGAGCCATGAATAACTCTGTAAAATGCACTTCCGCTCCATTTTCAGTACAAACTGTCAAGGATTGCTCATGTTCACCATACACTGAAGTGACTCTGTGAGGACTTGGTGAGAGAAGACATCCTGCACTTGCTGGTTTCGCCCTCTCTGTGGGCGGCCATCACACTAAGTACTCTAGTAATCTATAGATGGCTTATATCTGCCGTGAGAATAACCACATCCCCAGGCTGTGAGACAGACCATGGCGGCTTGCAGGAAAGGACCGATGGCCGGGACCCGTGCAGGGGCAGGCTGGGTGGAGTGGGTCCTCCCACTGAAGGCATCCATCTCTTGAGGCAAAATCTCCTCAGTGTTCATGTTCAGCACCTGGTTTGGCAGCCTCTGAGCAGCAGCAAGGCCACGGGCACCAGAGGCCTGGCTCCTCCCTGGTGCCCATGTGGCCCCCACAGCCCTCCCACCTCAGCGGAACCACCTGTCACGCAGCACTGCTACGTGCTTCAGGGAATGTGGAAAGGTGCCAGGCACACAGCAAGGGCAGAAAAAGAAAGTAGCTGTGAAGACAGGCTGTTGTAAAAGCTGGAAGTTACTGGTGACAACTTACACATTTATTCACACTTTTAGAGGCCATACAAGCTGGAAAGACTGGCCTTGCAAGCCTGCCCCACAGCCAGGCAGCACCATCCCTCCAGAGTGAAATCTGGTAGGTGTTTGGAGGAGCCTTTCCCTGAGGACACTGGCCTGTGTCCGGGACGTTGTTAGGGGTCCTCCCCTCACTGAAACCCCTCAACAATGCCCCACAGGCCAGAAACTCATCAAAGACCGTCGGCTCTGTCTGGAGAGCTGGGTTTCCGTAGGAAAAAGTCACCAAGAAGATCAGAGTTGAGCATGGCTCTTGGTCCTGCATTCCATCCCCAACCATTGGTCTGAGTATCACAGGGTCTGAGGGCACCTGCTGGGGTCACATCCCTGCCATCCATGACCTGCTGATACAGGAGCAGCAGAGCAGGGCAGGAAGAGCATCGGGGCGTAGGAGAAACATTACAAGACTGGGTAAAACCAGCATTCTCCGTGCTGTGGACGAGAGCAAGTGACATTTCAACACCACAGCCTGGAATCTCTGTCCAGATGAGGTCATCTCCAAGTGTGGGACTGGGAGGGTCCTGGAGGGCCCCCCACACACCTTCTCACCCAGGTACACGGGGCCTGGGGACCAGCAACACTGGCCACAGTCCCGCATGCACTGCACAGCACCCGCGGGACAAAAAGCACGTCCAAGTCTATGCGCTCAGCTCAGGTCTGCTCACATTCTTCTGTCCAGTCATTACCTAACAAACTTATCAAGAATGATCCATCATCAACCACAACACTTTCTAAAACAGAATTTTAACAAAAATTAATACTCCTAAGTTGTTAAGGTGGTAAAGATAGCAACCTGTCTGAAAAAGGGTTGATAAGGAAGAACTGAATGGGACCAAAAGGGCATGTATATACAAGTGACGTATGCACATTGCATGCACATGTGCTCATATATACATGCAGACTCACAAGCTCGCACACCTGTTTGAAAAAAATTCACTTAGAGTATTCAAAGGGTCTCTCCAAATTACACATTTACTTCGGGCAAACCAGTTACGTACCCCCTGTGACAGTCCCTACGTGGTAAAGAGCGGTCACCGCTGCTCCTGGTGTTGGTCTTTGGTGAGAACAGAGTTATGCTGCAGAAAGCAAACACATTACCCTCAAAGATTACAGTTCCAAGCTTCTTAAGAGACCTGCATTTTGCAGCAAAATATAATATATATTTAAATATATTAATGCTTTCAGTGTCCCATGCTGGAAATACACTGAACATTCAATTACTTCAATTGTAACAACTACCCTTCCACTTACACATCTGCAGTAGCATTCTTGGGACACTGTCTCCTTTTGGAGAATGAAAGTATAGGATCACAACAGAAACTGAACTGCATTCATGGTTTATGGACGTTATTTGCGAACCTACTCAGAAACAGAAGTGAAACCACTGGGAAGTAATGCTGTATCCTACCTTTAATAAAATCAAATTATTGAATATTGGCAGTAGCTGAACAGTCACCTGGTACTGGCCTGTTTTTCAGATGAAGAAACAAGACCCCAGAGATTCTGAGACACAGAGTGCCGAGCCCCAGGGATGCATGCTGGACAGCCACACTCCCACCCCACACCTGCATCCAAGCCTCTCGGAGCAAGCAGCACATTCTGCATCAGGCCGTGCCCAGAGCCATCAGGACAAGGGATGAACATGTCAGCTCAAGGTGTAATAAAACAGGCCCCACACAAAGCCCAGTCTGTCTGAAATTCTGTCCACAGGATGCTAAAGACCAGCTATCAGGAGGAATTCGCTCCATAAATCTGTGACAAATACATCTTTTCTACAAACAAGTATAGCAATGATCTTAACTCAAATTCTCGGTTAGATTCTTTTTTATCATAAGATAGAATAATAAGAAAGATAAACCACTAAAACATAATTACAACAGTGCCTTTTAATGGCAATAAAACTTATTATCCTATTTTTAACCTAAGTCTTCCACAACACTGCAGACTGATAAAAACTCTGACATTGCATGAACTTACCACAAATACTTATAAATCTCAAAAATTCTCTCAGATGAAATAAAATTCTGCCAGAATTATTTATATTTACATACACTTAATACTTGGTATCCAATATGAATATTCTGTACAATAGTATAAAATAACTTTAGAAAAATGAATAATTGTATAATATTGAGTTATTTTTAAAATAGTTCTCTTTTATTTTAAACAAAGAAATTTAGTTCAGTTTCTGACACTATTTCAAACCTGTAACCTGGACCATATTCCCATCAAAAACCAAGTGAAACTAATGAGCAAATCACTAAAATGACATGTATGTGACCAGGAACCGGGGACGCATCCCGTCCTACACAAGGCAGATCCGCCCCGGGGGGGAGGGGGGAGGCAGGCTCCTCAGGGGAGACCTGGAATAAAACTGCACTCAGAGAGGACCCAGAAAACCTCTCTCCACCTCAATGTCAAGCGAAGGAGAAAAAAAATCTCCAAGAAAAATAAAGCCAACAGTAAAATATTCTCAGGATCAGGTAATAAAGTTACAGATGCATTAGTGTACTTGATTATGAGAAGGTCTTAAAATTACTAGAATAAAGCTCATCAATATGTAAATGTCTATTATTTTAATAAATGCCCTAAGCATTAGAGTAAAGCAATTCTTCATCACAGATATTTCTTCTTTCTATGTGCTTTCTGCAAGTAGAGGGATGTGAATTTTTAGATTATAGGATAGCTATAAAAAAGTCATTTTCAGTAATTTTCCATACAAATGTTATTTTAAACAAGACATAAAACCATCATTAAAAAAATCAACAATTTGAAATTTCACCACTCTGGATACAGAGAAATTATAAGCTTTGTAATAACCTTACTATTTATATAACTGTTCTTATCAAAGGTTTTGTTCTACACATCATTTAGCTGTGATGCACGGTATATCATATATCCCATCTGAATAAGATGATCCATACTAGCAAAAAATGAAAAAAATCAATTTTTAAGGGTAAATCTAAATAAAACATATGCAAGAACAAAAGCTAAAGAAATAAATGAGTTCGGTAAAAAAAGTAGGAGAGAGAATCATAGGTCTTATTTCACAACAGATTTCCACATGGAGGCGTGCTGTGAGATCATGCTCCTGAAATGTAAAGTCGCCCACATGTGGCCGATGAAAATGGCCACACTTACAGGGAAAAGACAGATTACATCACTAGCCATGTAACATATAGATTTCATCCCACAAGTAATTCTCCTTGAGTAAAAATATACTTAGAACTTCAATACACCAAGTAAAGCCTCTCCACTTTTAGTAACACACGGACATAGGAATGGACAATTCTTTGAGGAAGCTGCTATTTAAATAAGGACTGGTAGCTGACTTCCTGCTGAGCAATCCTCTCAGCTGGGTTTTCAGACTGAAGGGGAGGGATGGGGAGCACAGAGAGACAGAGCAGGTCAGAAGAGCAGGAGAGAGCCGCAGCTCAGAAACCCAGCAGGGATGACCCGATCCCCAGTGGCCCTGGCCAGGAGTGACCTGGGAGGGTGGCAGCCGGGGGTTCTGCACTATCTGTCCCAAAAGAACAGTCAAGGATTTCAGAGGGTCTCATGGAGAAGGGAGGGGACGGCTGGACACAGGGGCTCACCAGGGTAGGAGGAGATCTGCAGGCGAGGAGAGCCTGGAGGTCCAGCAGGGGGGCACTCCATCCTACCCAATCCTGCCCTGTCCAGGAGCTGGGTCCCTCACCAGAGATGGAGATAAAAGCAGATTGACTGAGCACCTCTATTGTTTTTTAATTAGGTCAATAGAAGCTTAACAAGACTGATAAGGACACTGAGTTGGTCACTGAAGGGAAAAAAAAAATCATTATCAATGATTCTTACAATGGAAATAAATGGAATGTAATGATGTCTATCATCGTAAAACAGAAGTTAATTTTAAAATCATTTCTTTGTAAAAAGCAACATGTGAATTTGTTTTCTGCTTATAATAAGAAAAATTTTTGAGGCAATCGGGAATAATTTATATGGGCTGGCTAATACAAGAATTACCATTGGTTTTGATGACGTCACAACTAGGTAAGCAAATGTCCACATGTTTTATAAATGCATGCTGAAGTATACAGGGGAAAAATAACATGATGTTTGCAATGTGCCTGAAAATTATTCAGCAAAGAGAGGCAAGAAAAGATTGCCCCCATGATAAATGACTGGGCATCCCTGGGTACCACTGCTCTTCTGGCCACGAGAAACATCAGCATTTTTAAATATTTCTGAATTCCTATGAATTCTACCCAATTCAGGAAAAGAAACATCTAGCACATTCCCTACCACAAAGAGCATGTAAAGCATGTGAAAGGTAGGGAAACGAAGGTACACCAGAAGGGAGGAAACACTGAATTTTCATGCTGACAAACATGAATTCACAAAGCAAGAGAATGGTGCCAAGCAGCACGGGGCCGAAGGGCAGCACCAGCTTTGTATACTGATATTCCAGAGTGCATTGTACTCACCGGACTGTCTCTGCGGAGCTGGCTGGGTCCTGCTTTCCTCAGCAGGTCTGAAGTACAGTGGAGAGGTGGAGAGAACACGGGCGCTAAGGTAGAAACACAAAGTGCACCAGGAGAGCAGACTCACATACTGGCCTCATAGCTAGGAAACGTACATTTTAAGGACACTCACAAGCGATTAGTAATTCATGTACATATGGGTGTGCAATGTTTGGAAACAGGCTTACTCTTATCCTTCTAAGAAATAATTTTTAATATTTTTCATAAAAGTGCTATTTCATAATTTACATTCTATCCTGAAATACAATAGTTTTGCATGAAAATAAACTATGAATCATTTAGTTTTAAACAATATAGAAGCAATACCATGAGCAATCATTGCTCTCAAACAGGGTTAGTACAGTTGGGAGTTTACTAAACTTTACTTTTCTTTCTTAAGGTCAAAAGGAATCGAAATTCCACCAGCTGGTAAAGTTGAAGGTGTACACCCTACGGAGGAAGACTGTACCGAGGCAGCACGGGGAGATCCCTTCCCGCGTTGTGCCCCCGCTGAGACCTCACCAGAGCAGCAGCACAGATTTCCAACAAGGCGATCTTACGGCCACACAGGGACGTGAGTAAGCAGACGGCCTGCACGGACAGTCAACAGTGAACACACAGGACCCCACGGCAAGCGCAGCATCAGTCATGACATTAGCAGCTACGGTATAGCTGCACATGGCACCGTGCGCCTCATAAACCTGCCGCCTGCCAACCGTATGGCCGCCAGGGAGCTAAGCGGCACAAGTACAAGAGCTGCGGGACTCACCTTCTCACCACCGACCTTGCTCATCACTGCACATGATCCGGCAACTTGAGTGCTGGAGCTCCTGAAATCTTCGTTTTCGGCAAAGAGAAACAAACCAGCGCTGCTGATGGGGTAAGTGGAGGGAACCACCCACTCACGGACACATCTCTGCACAGAGGCCTGTGTGGGGGCTGGCAGGTCTCAAGCCCCGAGGCCCTTACAAGAGCCCTGCCCCTGGAGCAGCCCCGAGTCACGGAGAACCGCAGACTCTGTGCGCAGTGTAGCCTCGGGGGAGCAGGCAGAACAGAGCTCCCGGGGCAGGTTCAGGTGAACCTTCAGGGCGAACAGGAAGAGAAACGGGAGCTCTGCTTTGGAGGGTTCAGGCAAAGCCCCACAGGTGATGAAAAGGCACACTGACTTCCCGTGAGAATGGTGGCATGGGCTGGCCCAAGCTAAGAACTCAGACTCTGTCCCCAGAGCACAGGGGCCTTAAAAGAAAAAGAAGGGAGCTTGCATTTACCGGTGACCTCGGCTGCAGTGCACACAGGGAAGGCGGAAAAGGAAGCGTTAATCATGCCTGCATTTCTGGCAGCGGCAGCTCCACGCACGGTGGTCATGGAACCTGAGGACAGGAGCCAGGGTCGGACAGGAGGGTGCCCCAGCTCAGTTCAAACAAGCTGTCTGACAAGCTGACGAGGCCATCCAGTCACCCAGTCATGGTGCTGTCTCCAGTGGGAAATACTGACAGGGTGGACTTGAGAATCCTTGGTAGGAGCTTGGGACAGAGGCGGGAGTGCTAAAGAGAACAAGTGTGCCTCTGCACACACATGGAAGATGGGAGGGCTGGGGGCCAAGGGAAGGGAGACCCACAAAGAGGTCGGAGTGGACTCAAGGCGTGTCCTTGGGACCCCGCGCACAGAGGCTGCCTGTGGCCCGTCTGCACATTCTGATGACTAGGCCTTCTACACCAAAAGGGTCACTCTCCCAGATGCCAGAGAAAAAGATTAATTGAAGTTACATGAAATTTATATCAAAGATGATCTGAACTTTGATCTTACCCTTGTAATGTAAAACGGCTTCCAGTTCAAAGTTTGCCAAGTTAAATATGAATAAGCCAGCTGAGCTTCCAATCCACAAGCATGTAGTATTCTCAGAAGAAAGACTAATTTTAAAGGAAAAAGAGAAAATACCCAGCTGGTCTCCCTCCTCAGGCTCCCATCCCACAGAGCGCCACGGAGCAGGCCCTCCTCAAGCTCTTCTAGGCAGCCGGCTCTTGGCATTTAGGATCTATAACTATCCTCGACTAGGCTGGTATTTCGGCTTTCCTGGACGCCTGCTGTCTGGTGAAGACAAGTACTAGGCAGCCACAGCCAGATCCCAACTCGACTGTGATCTGCAAGGTTTTCCTTTCTCTGAGGCCACAGGACTCTGCTCAGGTGGGCATCCCTGTGAGAGGGGCAGCGTGGCACCTGCAGGTCCTTCCACGCAGTGTCTGGAAAGGAGGAAACCAGCTCAAGAGGAAACAGACCAAAGTAGCAGAACCCATGAAAGGGCAAACACAGCTCTGCTTTCTCTTCTATTTTCGGATATACAAACTAGATAAACGTTAATAAAGGGACCAATAAGCCCCTCTGGCCGTGCCAGACCTGGGACTCTGAACAGCTCTCCGCGCCCTCTCTCCCACCTTCCTCTCGGTCCCCTGAGGCCTCTGACCACCCTGACTTCCTGGGCTCATCCTCGGGCCCTCATGCTCCCACAGCCATTCCCAAGTCAGCCAAACAACTGCACCCCAGGGGAGGAAGCCCGGGCCGATCCTCAAGGAGCTCCAGCACAGGTCATCTCAGACGGCTGTTCCCGCGCAGCCTGTGTCGAGGGGCAGACCCAGCAGGGCACCTGTGCAGAGACCTGGCCCACAGCACAGCCGCTCCCCTTCCCCTTCCCATCCCCTCCGCATCCAGGGAGACCAGAGGCTCCTCCCTCGTTGTCCCTAGAGCTTTCTGTACTCAGTAGCTAAAGCCATCATAGTACATCTGAAATGTCTGATGTAGGGCACAGATGGGGGAGTATTAGAATGAGTTATGATTACATCCCCCTTTACCTTATTACAGAGTCAAGATCTGCCTAGACTTTGGTGAGCAAAATTAAAAACAATTTCATTTCTTTTATCAAACAGACTTAAAAGTAATTGACCAGGTTTACCGAATACGCAATCCTAAAAACACTTAACAGTTATTATTACTTAAACAGACAAAAATACATTGGCTTTACTTTAATCATTCTTAAAAAGTGAACCTAACTTAAGAGGATTTCCTCAATGGTGTTGGACAAGTTCATCATACTCACCAACCACACTCGGCAGGGAGAACGAGGGACAGATCACATGGCCCCAGCCCCAGGACAGGGAGGCTTGCTTCAACCTCCTCTCCTTTCTCCAAGCCATCTGTGCAGACACACTGACCCTCTTCTAGGAAGAGAATTATTGATAATCTGAGCTATGGGATTAAAATGGTCCGGAGAGTTAAAGGCAGACAGTTGGCAGCACGGTATATTGTAGGAAATACATGTGGGCTAGAGTAACTTGGATCGGATCATGAGTCAAGGAAAATAGCCAGGCTTACACGCAATAAAAAACAAGATTATAGGGGCGCCTGGGTGGCTCAGTCGTTAAGCATCTGCCTTCGGCTCAGGTCATGATCCCAGGGTCCTGGGACTGAGCCCCACATCGGGCTCCCTGCTCAGCAGGAAGCCTGCTTCTCCCTCTGCCACTCCCCCTGCTTGTGCCCCCTCTCTCGCTGTGTCTCTGTCAAATAAATTTAAAAAAATAATTTAAAAAAAAAGAACAAGGTTATAAATGCAGAGTAGTCCCCATACATGAGGCCTGTCAGGAAGAAAGGTGGAGTTCCAAGCACACCTAGACTTTAACTCTGTTCCTAAAGCAGGATCAGGTTCATTTCCTAATAAACGGCACTTACACAAGAAATAATGAAAGCCAAGATTTAAAGCATTAGGAAGAAAACAGATATATTGGATAAAGGTAATTTCTGACCTTCTTTCAACAGAAATAGCTTAAAGCCATCTATGAAAAAAAAGACACAAACTAAGCCAAAAGGAAGAACAGTGATGAGAAGCTTGAGGGCAGTAGGGGAAAGACATCTGCTGTAACAGGAAAGTTCACGGATGGCACATGCCCACAAGAGAGTAAGAAGTAACCCCCCTTTCCTGCAGAGCATCCGCTCCTTTTGTGATGCGGTGTACATACTAGAGCAACTGGGAGGAAGAGAGGCGTGGCCACGCGGAAGCTACTGTGGGGACAGAGAGGACTCCAGCAGAGATGGGGGCCGGCCCAGGTGGGCCGGGGCCTCGGCACAGGACAGCCATCAGAAGCGGGGAAGCGGCTGCCCTGGGCTGGGGGGGCACATGCTCTCCTCATCAGCGGACCTCACCCCCGGCACACAGGATGAGCCTCACTGCCACTCCACCCCACCCTCCCTCACAAGAGCCCCCTGGCGCTGGTGCACGTCTGAGGTCAGATGCTAGACTTCTCCCAGTAACAACTGTCCTTGCCCTGAGCTCTCTTCAGCTCACCTAACACAGGACCCTGGCAGGCTGCTCAGGAGCCCCGTGGGCAGGGGCCCCGTGGGACGGTCTGCGTGATGTTACCTGGCAGGCTGCACAGCCTGGACTCAACCCTCCTGAAGAAACTCTTGCTCTTCTTCTTTAGGTCAACCCGTGTCACACAACGATAATCATGTCCTTCAACCAAACTGAAGATCCAAAGCTGGAAAAGCCAACAAGGCACAGACCTCAAGTCGGCCATCACAGGGCACAGGTGAACACGTGGTACAAGCCCAAGGAGAAGGGTGGGTGTGGTGCCCGAGACAAGCCCCGTGCAGCCTGAGAGCCTGCTCAGACCCTTCCTCTGCCGGTCTGACCTCTCCCTTCCCCTTCCCGGCACCACATCGATTCAGACCGCTGACACCAGGTGCAGACACGCCCTCTGGCTTATAAACCACTGCCCAAGAGGGCATGTGCTCTGATCCCCACTGGTCCAGGCCAGTCTCTCTGAACCCGACACCACGAACCCACAGCTGCAAATACATCGGGCACATCACCGGGCAAAAACACACAGTAATAGCAGCCACCTTTGTCAAAAAGAAAAATAAAATTTCTTCCAAAAATACATCTGTGATATTGTGATTTATAACAATAAATACATGTCTTTGGACTTCGTCCCTGTTTCCAGCACAGACCTCTTAAAACCCTGGGAACTTCCTAAGAGTGACAAAGGTGTCTTTTGTTGTGTTAATGAGGTGACTTTTGGAAAGGCCCTAAGGGTGGGGGCAGGTTGCCAGGAGAACCAATCACTGATTAGAGGCTCTGAACTTTCTGTCCCACCCCCTGACCTCCAGGGAGGGGTGGGGGCTGGAGGTTGGGTTCAATCACCAATGGCCAATGGTTTCACTAATCATGCCTACATACTGAGGCCTCCATGAAAACCCAGCTCCCAGGTTGGTGAACACGTCCACCGTCCACACCGGGAGGGCGACCCTCCCCAACCTCGCCATATGTGCCTCTCCATCTGGTGCTCGTCTGTGTCCTTTCTCACGTCCTTTAACAGATTGGTCAACTGGGGGCACCTGGGTGGCTCGGTCAGTGAAGCATCCCACTCTTGGTTTCAGCTCAGGTTGTGATCTCAGGGTCTTCAGGCCAAGCCCCACGGTGGGCTCCCAGCTCAGCCCCTTCGGCGGGAGTCCGCTTGGGATTCTCTCTCCCTCTGCCTCTGCCCCTCCCGCTCGTGCTCGCTCTCGCCTTCTCTCAAATGAATAAATAGATCTTCCTAAAAACAGACCGGTAAACTGGTAAATAAGCATTTCCCTGAGGTCTGCAGGTCGCTCTAGCAAATCCGTCGAACCCGAACAGGGGACGTGGGCCCCTGCGGTCTGCAGTTGGGCTGCACAGAGCCTGGGGGACCCGCAGACCCACTGCTGTTGTCGGCGTGTGAAGGGGATGCCGTCTCCTGGGCGTCGGCCCCTCGCCTGTGGGGGCTCCAGGCAGACAGTGTCAGAACTGGGTGCAACCGTAGGGCACCCGGCTGGCGCGCTGCAGGCTGCCCAGTGTGGGGGGACCCCGCACACGTGGGGTGACCCGAAGGGCTAGAGGCGAGGTGTTCCGTGTGAAGGCAAAGGACACTCACACGGGAGCGAGAACTGCATTATTTCCTAATAGGGTGTCTTGCCCAAATTATCTCAACAGCAACTTTTTAAGAAGAGAACAGTATCCATGCTTTGTGAATACACCTGAATTGCTCACCTAAAAAAAGTAAGTTTTGAAAAAAAAATCAAGTATCTTCAAATTTTTCAAACTGTATAAAGCGGGCTCTTCTGATGGCTGTGGGCGGGCGCGTGTGAGTGTGAGCCCCACCCCAATGCCCAGGCCCCAAAAGGAATGGCTTGACTACCGGGGTCGACAGTTTCTTCCAATCAGAAAGAATACAAGGAAGTGTTGGAGCAGAGATCTCTCTGCAGGCGTTCACATAGTCATGATGGTGCTTGGACCTGGAACTGAAGTCTGTGCTTCTCTCACCTGGCCGTTTGCGCATCCCGTCACCAGCTGCCGGCTCTCTGCATCGATGAGGAGACTCAGGAGAGGGGAGGCTATAAACAGAATACACAAATATCTATCTGTAAATACTTAAACTGAAAAGTATCCGAGTTTTACTTACAATATCTTTTTTTAGTCAAGTCTGAACTATCCTGAAATAATTTCTTCACCAGGAAATACAAACCGTAAGTGCGTACACATTCTGAGAACCTGTGTGCATGGGAAGGTAGCGAAGCTGTCCCACATAAATAGCCTGGGGGCAGCTCCCCGTGGAGGTGGGAGCCTGACTGGCACAGTCCACGCGGCACCATCAAGGCCCAGCAGCTCCATCACCCACACTGTAAAAAGCACTACCACCCAATAACTATTACACTTGCAACAGAAGTAACACATTTATGGGATTAGTCTGGAAAACAGCAATTAAATGATGCCTACTGTTTAAAATGTTGCCTAGAATGTCATTTAAAAGTTATTCTGAATCTAAACTATCAAGAATTCAGAAGGAAAATTAAGATAAATGGACATTTAAAGACACTGCATGTCCTAAATAAACTATAAATGACATCAAAATCAAGTTAGTAATTGTTTTCTTGACAGTCAAATAATAATTCCACAAGTTAATTTCAGGAAAATAATTACAAGGTAATTCCAAGAAATGTGGTTTGTCCCTGAGATTGACGAATGTCTTCAAGTTGATAAAACACCCTACTCAGCACATGGATGAGTGATGTCAGGAAGAACGGCTGAATCTCAGAGAAGTACGACCGTATCTGCTCAAGGTCACAAGGCCCCTGCATATTCGCAAAGCTGTATTTCTGTGTGAGTCATCCCAAGAAAAGGGGCTCCCTGTGCAGAAGGATGTGCACCAGGAGCATGGGAACACCGGCCAGGAGGTGTGTGGAGACCTACGTGACCTGTTGTAGGGACTCACGGCCAGACACACAGTTTGAGCAAAGGGTACAGGCGCTGAGAGCTCAGGGTGGTACAGAACTTCCTGCCTAAGCACAGCCTCTGATCCACGAGGCAGATGTGCCCTGCAGAGGCCTGGCTCTGCACCTGTTCCTGGGGACAGCAGAGGGGGGCAACACGTTTCTTCCAGCCCACCAGTATGCTTTTCAGACTGCAAGCATATGCTTAATTGTAAGTTAAAAACTTCAAGAAATGTACCTGTTAAGTGAATCCTTAAAGGTGTGGATGGGAGGGAGACCCTCAGACCCCCTTGAATGGGACAATTCCAGCTTAAAAACACACACTGAGAGAATTTGACTCCACGAAGCCCACCGACAAAACAGACATACAAGTTTTTAAAGTTACCTGTTAACACTGATGAGCTGTAGATTAATGATCCCATATGATGATCCCAAACCTTTGGAAAGACACGTTTCTTTAGAAGAGACATAAATTTTTTTCTGATCTACATTCCTGATGTAGCTTGAACTAATACTTCTAACTTGGTTACAAATTAATTCATGTGAATGGTTACCTAAAGGACAAAATAATAAAATAGGTATATAAATAATAAAACTGTAGAAACACAATAAAAGATTTCGGACTCATATGGGGAAAAGCTAGCATTTCCAGAAGTAAAGATCTATGGGTTTGGAAGACCCAAGCCAGGGCTGCAGACATCCCCAGCACCAATCGACACTGCCCAGGGGAGGTGTGCGGCCACGGTCACTGCCGTCTACTGCCAAGGGCGAGGGCCTATTTCCAGACACGCTCTGGCACTTTCCAAACTCAGCTCCCATCTCAAAATCCCCAAGAGATGAGGGGCACCCTCACTTCCATCCAGGCTCAGCTCATCTGTCCACAGCAGCTGGAGGGGCTGGGGCTGGGCCCGAGCAAGGGAAGAAGCAGACATTTCCAGATGACCGAGGAAGTCTTCCAGTCTCTCTCCTCTCCCACCCTGCAAGAGGGTGTAAACCACCCGCAACTCTTCTTCCAATTACGCTGCACAAGTCCTCACTTGGTCAATAGGATAAAAATCCTAATGCTAGCTGACTGGGAGCTGGATGGGAACGGAGCTGACATTTTAAATTAGTTTCTTCTTGGGGCGCGCCTGGGTGGCTCAGTTGGTTAAGTGTCTGCCTTCGGCTCAGGTCATGATCCCAGGGTCCTGGGATCGAGCCCCGCATCGGGCTCCCTGCTCAGCAGAGAGCCTGCTTCTCCCTTTCCCTCTGCCTGCCACTCTGCCTACTTGTGCATTCTATCTCTCTATCAAATAAATAAATTAAAAAAAAAAAAATCTTAAAATAAATAAATAAATAAATTAGTTTCTTCCTAAGCTCATTAATATTGGAAAATGGTTCTTCTGTTCTGGGCCCCCCAGAAACACTGTGGAGTAAATTAATGTTCTAGCTCCCCAAGGCCCTGGACTTGAGGAGGAGGGTCCCGCAGCTGACCCAAGCCCACCTAGGAATGTTGGGACACGCCCAGCTGACACCTCCAGCCAAGTTCAGGACAGAAGTGTGTTGAAATAAAGTCACACGTATGAGGTGACCACTGACCAGAAACGCCTGCTCAACTGTGTCCACATTCCTCTGAAAAGCACCGAAAGCACCCCAATACCCACGCCCTTACCTTAAAGCTTCTGTCTTCAGACACTGAGATGAGGAGGTGTGTTTGCCACAGACAGAACTCAGCTGCGGTCACGGCGCCCCGGTGACCCTCCAGCTCAGCTCGTGTAGACTGGCTCTGGGAAAATTTGTGAAGGAAGATCAATACTGAATGTTCTGGTAACTCTTTATATAACTCCCTTCTCCAAATGTGAAACCACCTGTGTCTAAACCTAGAAGTTAAAATTCAGATGGCTGAGCTGAGAGGGGGCAGAAGCTGCCCAGGGCCATGTGCATGGCAGTTCTAGAGACAGAGCGACCTGACGCCGGCCCTGAGCAGCGCCACACACGAGGCACTCCCATCTTCCCGTCCACACCCTGTGTGCAGCTCTGAGGCCACTCTTTGCCGCAGGACTGCCCAGAACAGCTCTGCAGGGGTGGGCAGAGCATCCTAAGATCAAACAGGACAGTGTGTTCCTACTACTAATGAGCTATCCTTCCTCCAAAACCCATGAAACCTACTCTAGAGCCAGGAAGCCCCAGAAGACAGTGTCATGAGTCAGAATCACACAGCAGAGATGCAGTGACTGGTCACCCCAGCAGATGTCCCTGTGGGACTCCAGGCAACTGGGATCAGGCCTGCTCTTCAACCCTGCGGCATCCGGTCAGACAAGATAAATAGCCCCTCGTACACATGCAGGAAACATATACATATCTGTATCCACACAGCAACTTAACTAAGGAGTAAGCGCTTAACCCCGGAAGACTTCCAGTAATGTAACCTGAAACCCTTGACAAGCTAGCTTATGTCTCTTATCACCAGAAGATTAAAAATAAAAGGTGGGGTCATAATGTGCACAAGGACAGGGATACTCTCCAGGTTGGATGTTAGGAAATGCACGTTTCTACTCCCTCCAATGTTTGTAATATGAAATAGTCCTTGTCTCTTAATAACATTGTATCCTGGAAAACACCTTGTTTCCTTTCAGCATTTATGGTCATGTGTTACATTAGTTTAAGTGTTCTGTATTCATTTAAAGTCTCTAGAGCAAAGTTCATCAACTGGTCACTACCTAGTGTTCTGTTGAAAGCACTACAATACTTCACGTCCGCGCTGGCAGCCCACGCATGTCAGCCCACGCATGTCCGGCTACTTTCCCTCGGTAAATCTCACAAGCCTGCTACGAAATGTGCGAAGAATAACAGGCCAGCCATACACAGTCTGGAACAAACAACTGCCACCTCATGTCCCGTCTGCGTGGTTGAGGCCTAACCTGACTCGGGTCCATCATCTTCTCTTTCTGGGACACCTCATCTTCCTTCTGGTGCTGACAGTGCTTGGTGTCCTCCTGGCTCATCTGTGTTCCTTCCCCCAACATGAGGCTGGTGAGCTTTGCTACATGTGGTGGGTGCCTTCACGGAATCACTGAATCCTAGGACATTTCCCAGCATCTGTGACTTCACTTACAACGTTAACATTTTGTTATGTGTGAGCCTCAGTTGCACAATTTGGCCAAAAATTGCATGAACACAGAAATGTATACTCTGCCCCAAACTGCCTAGCACACAGTAAGCCCACCATCAATTAATCCTCAATTAAGATATTATGCCTAACACTGTCCCTAACCCAGATTTTTCCTAAGTAGATATGGCAGAAAATTCCTCATAGGCAAATAGCTTTGTTAACTGCATTCACTTGGCAAATAGAAGCCAAGGCCAGGCCTTGTATGATTTGTCTCCAAAATAAGTCTCAAGCAGAACATGGATTCTGAGCAAACAGGAGGCCTCCCTCACACCCCCAGCCCCACTTCTGCTCTCTTATGCCTGGCTGAGCCTAACGGGCTCCCGTTTCCTAGTCAGATGCGAGATTTAGAAGTCACAGAGCCTGGAAGAGGAGACGCATATACTTAAACCAACTCCAGTTAAGAGAGAAGTGAGAAAAGTACAGTTCTTGACGGAAAGCAAGCTTAGAAAAAAGAGAGAAACAAAAGCACTGTGCTGGGAGGGCTTGGAGAGATCACCAAAGGAGGAGAAATCAGAGAAATAAATGTTGACCGAACACACTTGCTTAGCATCCTGATGGCCTGATTTCATGGACTGGTGTCATGATTGACATGAAATAGCACTATCTGATTCAGGCGGCTTTCTAAGTGCGAGATAAAGATATGTCTTCCTTCACTGCCCAGTTAAAAGTACTGTTGATGAGAGGCAGGCGGGGCCCCACTCAACTGCTAATGGGCAGGCACTGAACCTTACCTCAGTATCCAGCATAAATATTTTCTTTCCAGCACACACAGCAACCGCAAGGTCATCTGGGCTCAACCTCAAACACAGCACCTTTCCCAGGAGGGTGCCCATGACAACCCCTCGAGGAGTCAACCCTAGACGGAGTTTCAGTGTTAGTGTCAGATTATGAACAGGAGTCAACAACCTTAGCATAACTCTGCAACAAGCCACGGGGAGGCACTGATAATGTAGCTCTCTCCTCTAAACCACATGCAGAACAACAATGAGATTGGATGTGACTTTGGCTCCTCGAGACATCAAGTATAAATGGTTCTTCTGGAAGTTATGTGGAACGCAGGGATCATCCATCAGAAAATGACTCAGTGTCGTCACAGATAATGGGTCTCTGGGAAGGCTGCATGTGCATACACGTGGGGGTCATACAGAATCGCCCACAGTCCCAATCCTTCCTCCTCCGTGACCAGGCCAGTGAGCTGCTCGGGCTCATGTCAGACAGGCAGAAGGCACAGGGTACCCATCTGAGCCTCTGGGGCCTCTCTACCCCTATGAGGATGTCTCCAGGCAGACCTGCAGGTCCAAGGTGACAACATGAGCCAACCCGCAGCCTCAAGCAGGATCCCTCAACCAACCCACCACCATGCAGCAGGACTCAGCGCCATTGTGGTTGGGCCCTGTCCAGCAAGGCCGTGTCACCAGTGAGACCTCAAACTACAGAAGGGGAGATGTGCACATATCACTGGAGTTCTATCTTGGCTAAAATCCCATGGTCTTATTGCATGAGTATTCACCAAGCACCTGTGTTACCCCAGGCATCTCCCTAGGCACCCGGGACAGATCAGTGAACAAAGAGACAAAGTCCTGCCTTTGTGGAAAGCTTACCTGGGGTAGGGGGTGGGGGCATTTAGACACCAATAAACAGAATAAGTAAACAAGTTACGTACAATGCTAGAAGGAAGTGAACAACGTAAGAAAAAGCAAAGCACAAAAAGGGACCGGGGTCCAGGGTGGTGGTCAGAAGGGCCCACAGCAATGGAGACACTTAAGTAGACCCTGAAGGATGTGGCAGAATCTACTGTCATCCTGAGATGGAGCAGCAGATGCAAAGGCCCAGGGGCAGGACTAGGCCTGGGCTGTTCCTTGGGCCTGGGGCTTTGGCTGGGGGTCCCGTAGCTTTGTCAGTCTCTCGTCTGCATGAGGCAGGAAGGCCCTGGAGGGTTTTGGGCAGAAGGGTAGCATACTCAAACTCCAATTTTCCAGGGACCCCTGGCTGTTGAGTCGAAAGCAGAGCACCGGGCAAGGTGAGCAGGAGGAGCCAATGCAATAAGCCCGCTGAGTGACCCCGCGGCCTGGACTACAGGCAGCCGTGAAGACCGGTGTGAGGAGCGTCCAGAGTTTGGTTCCGTTTTGCAGGGAAAGCAGACAGGACCTGGGGTCAGTTGAATGTGGAGGTGTGGAGGGAGCCTGAAGCACAGTGCTATGGTTTCTGACCTGAGCCGCTGTGGGGAGGTGGGAGGCAGGTGGGGGAGACGCGACCAGGACAGGTAAACCTGCAGTGCGGTCAGACCTCTGCGTGGAGATGTCCAGGCACAGTTCACACGTGAGACCAGACGTGGCAGCTGTCAGAGCCTTGTGTCATCACCAAAGGAGTGTTTTTTGAGAGGAAAGAAGACAAGCCCATATCCCAGTGTGAAGAGGTGGGAGAATGACATGGAGCCAGCAAAGGAGACTGGGGACAAGTGACCAACGACAGCCCCGGGTCACAGTCCATTTTCCAGTCCAAGTGCAAACACAATCATATTGGACACGAAGGTGCTATAATCCAGCACACCTGCCCACCAAGGGCACGGAAACCAAGCCCGGCAGTGCTACATCCGGCCAGGCCCCTGCGGCTTCCCTGGAGCCTTCTGTAGTCCCACTGCGGGAGCTCTGGGGCACAGGAGAGCTGTGGCACAGAACGCTGAGCTCCATAAGGGCGCCAGACTGTGCCTTGGGGCCAGCTTCAACCCGCCCATGGATGAGACCACATGTATCCAAGTCCACATGAGTCCTCAAGGTTGCAGCCCCTTCCCACAGGGAAGCCTGCTTATTTACAAAGACCTTCTTCGCAGGGAGCAGAAAACGAACATGTGGTTTACTGTACATACGTACGTGTGTGTGTACCTGTGTTCATGTGTGTGCACGTGCACACTCCGTGCACGTGTACACACGTACTGTATACACGCAAGCATGTCTGTAGTGCATGTGTGCACACTATACACACACAAGTGCATATACTACACACATACGTTGCTAGATGCATACAGATGTGCGTGTGTGCTGCGCACGTGTGTGCTGCACACGTGTAAGTGTGTGCTGTGCATGTGTTGCTGTGCACGTGTACATGTGTGCTGTGCACGTGTACGTCTATGCTTGCACGTGTACATGTGTGCCGTGCATGTGTGATATGCATGTGTGTGCGTGTGCACATATGTTCTGTGCACGTGTGTTGTGTACGTGTGTGCTGTGCACATGTGTGCTGTGCA